AAATCTGGAAAAGCGACATTCGCATTCGGTCGTCCCACTCCAAGCATTATCTAAATCAGAAAACTATCAGCAGTTATCAACAAACGTTCATTCATTAAGAAGCTACCAAATCAAGCGACTTCAGTTGATAATGCTAAAAAAATTTGCAAATAAAGGATCCAATAAGATTCGCTTTGCTCAATTCGTCTAAATCGTATCACGTGAGCATACAGTGTTTTAGGACGTGAAATTCTTTGTTATGGACTGAATGCTCTAGATTGGTAGTGCTCTTTGATTCAGTTGATGTTAAACTTTCATGATTGCAATCATGAGCGATCTGAGATTTCATGTAAACCGCGAATCATTTTTCTGCTGCTCAATCAGTCTTTGTTCTTTGATCATTTCGTTGTTTGGTTAGTTACGGATGTTTTGATGAATTTAGTTATCGTGCGTTGAAGCTATCGAATACTAGCTGTCGATGTTCTACTAAACGCTAACAGTTACTAGAAACAGAGTAGTAACCTTTGTGCCTTTTGTGAATGGATATGAAAACTCGATGGTCGGAACTTCACGTTCGTTTTCCCACTCGATGAATGAAGCGTTCTGAAATGGAAATTCGAGATTGGAAATAACAATCGGAGCTCAGTCTGTATTAAACACCATCACAAATCTCATATAAATTTTCAGCTTATTTCATGTAGTTCCAAAACATTAGAACATGGTGTTTCAATGTAAACTGAAGCGAATTTTAAAAGTTTGTAATGCTGCTCACTTGATATCGCCCTCTTCTGAATGACTGTCCATCCGCAGCCATACCCGCATCAAGAACGATCATTAGATGCATTGATTCATTGTGCAACTGCTGCGCATATTGTATCAGATCATACCATTCCTTAAAATAACACAATGAGAATACTAAAAGCGTTATTGGTACAGCGTTCGGTTTTGAGCAAAACCTTCCGCAGAACTAGTAATCCTTGGAGTGAAGATGTAATTATAGACCTCAAAATAGTCAAAATAAATCAGAAAATTACCCATGCAAGTTCAAAGTTATTTTTTCCCTTCATATAATTATAGCCAGCGAAGAGAACATCGATTGGAATTGCTGCTTTTCGAACATCATTTATCAAATTCATCATTTTACTTGCGAACATATATCCATCTCGACCCAGCTACAAATCATCTATTAAATAAGATTTAATCAAGCTTGAGCTAATGGATTACTCAAATCAAAAGCAATCTTGCACTATTAGACAAGGAACCATTCGAATACCTGATAGCCAAGTGACCAATAGCTAGGCAATGCGGGTGTGCCCACCAGAGCGAGATATTGTTTCACAACGTCCTCGGGAGAAGGTCCTGGGAAGAAGTAGATGTCCAGCATACCACCAATAGTTCGATAGACAATATGTGGCGCTGGTCCTAGCGTTATTTCCTGCAAGTAAGATGCGACCATCATGAATATTCAAACATCTAACGTTAACGAATACATCATCAAGATAGAGATTTTATTCAGTGGTATTTGAGGAATCAGTTGAAAGTGTAATGATGGACTGCATGGATACCTGTGGATTACTGTTAATAATGAGTACACCATGCGCTTTATTATCACTCTCGAGAGCCAGATAGAACGGATAAGCACCGTAAAGATTTTTGGCGTTGAACTGCGTGGATGGATCGTAATAAGCTTCGGGGTTCTGACCTCTTGCAAACATCGGCCATGTACTGTATATTGTTAGATTGTGCTGTAAATATATTATCTTCTCAGTAAGAAAATGCAGAATCCATATGTTCAACTGATGGGAAACATTTAAAAATTTTAATTTTACATCTGATAAATTTTACAGCAAAAATTCGAAAAATGATTGGTCTCTAAAGTATAATGTTTAAATCCATTCTCAAACGATAGTGGTTATGAACTATAGCCGTTGATTGCGTATTTGAAAGTACTCAACACTCAGCGAGTAACTGGTATACATGTTCCTGTGAGGAATGGACTCATGTCAGCAATTACCTTCAGGCTTTGTTGAGTATTCTCGCCGATGCCATAAATTTCAGATGAACCAATAAATGCAGCGATTTGTATGTACTGATCAGCAAACAACATACCACCTGGAATAGCAGTAGAAATGTCAGATGGTTTCGATATTTCTGACCAACATACCACCAGAGAACAGCATTCGATCAAATAAAAAATGATCATCCGATAAATTATGCAAAGGTACTAAACTGCTGAAAGGCAAACTGCAAATTTAGACACGTTGAAATACGTTAAGATCGAGCATTTTTTACCGATTGAAGTATCCCAAATCATCGTTCCAGTTGATTTTCTCGTTACCTTGAACGAGAAGACACCAAACTGATCCGATTGTTCCACAACGAAACTTTCACCAGTGTTCACATGAGCACGTGGAATACTTATTGGTGGCTCGAATCTGATCATCATAAAAATTATGCAAATTGTATATTGCAGAATATTTCAGTCTGTCGCTTGACGATTGATAACAGCTCGTCATGAAAATCTAACATCTCAAAATGCTACTCCTGCGCATTCACTACAAATTCATTTGCTTGCTTTCTGCAATGTTTTCTTCTTTGGATATATACGAGTCTCGAAATGTTCCACTCCACTACCGCGAATAATAATCATTCCCACTGAAGGTGAAATAATTGCGCTACCTGCCACTAGGACCAATTCGCACGTTAAGTGTTGATTGTCCGATAGAGGAATATGAGAAGTTGATTGGACTTATATCGGACCCGTACGGATTCTCTACGCTTTCGTATTTCCTCAGAATTGTTACGTCTTCCTTTGTCGTACTACTAGTGCTTTCTTTCATGTAACCGGATTTCTTCGGGAAATAGCATTTCGGTTCGTTGATCTGAAAAGAAGCACACTTAAAAGCCTTAAGAGCAGGGTCTCAACCAGGTGAGAATGATGCTTCAGCAGTAATTTCGTATGAAAATCCCTCGCCTGATTTGGTGTTCCATCAAATATACATCCTAAAGCACCGCAATTCTCTGGTGTTGCGATTGGTGATGGTGCTGGCATGCAGTCAACACGTGACTTAACCGTTATGTCTGATTTACTGAAAGCAATTGTTCAGATGAAGAATTGAAAGACTGAAAAAGCGATATAAGACAGTAGTGCCAGCTGATTCGGAAACTTTGAAGTGGTCCGTAAACCTTTGTTCTCATCTCGCAAAAATTGACCGATTAATTGAATTTAAAATGAGTTTTAAGTGAGCGAGGACAGGATACTCTTGGACAACAATGACTAAAAAAAGAAGCAGTAAATAGCATTCTTATTGAGATGATCATTAGAATACCTATTACTAGGAATTGCTTGCAAACACGCAAATATTTCACTGTTATGTCAAGTAATCGAAACTCAGAAACCAGATCAGTTAGGAA